ACAGTAACTGGAAAATTTCTTAGTGACTTCCATCAGGCTTTGACATCACTTCCAATAAACATACAGTGTGTTCAGTAAGTAGTGGATGCATCTAGTGTTTCCCTTGGACACTATTTGCACATCAGAACTAAGGAAACGCTGAAAAAGTTGACTTCCATCAGAAAGGTGGCCCAAAAAAGGCACCTGGTTTTGGTGTGACTGTTACTGTGCACCGTAGCGTTTGACCTATCGAGGGCGTCAGAGAACACTGTTCCCACTGCAGATCTCTGCAAAAACACCCGTCACTATTCACAGCCTGCCAGATCAGGAAACCTGCCAGGCTCTTCGTACCCAAAGAAATGAAGAGCTTTTGTTGTCCTTTTCTGGTGGTACCGAGTCCACAGTTTCCGAGTCTCTAAACAAACAAATCAGAAGCAAGGGTCCCTCTTGTTTTATGGCAAGTTTACTTGCCTCACTGGAAAACTTCCACCAAATTTTCACGGAAAGGCAGAAATGTCAGACCAAGGTCATCAATCAGGTCTGCAAAATACTCACACAGAACACCATTTTCTCAGAAGTTTTCTTTTTTTGGACTCCCACTGAGTCTTTGATTCACATCTTTGGGAAGGGACCAAAAATTGACCTCTGAGCATGAAGTAAGTTCTGCAGGAATAGGACTGGATACAGAGTCCAGCCTGCCCATCTAACATCCTGGCACAGAACACACTCCTATGAGCTGGAGACCTGAAGGTGATGCAGGTAAAGTCTTTCCCACACTGTCATGTATTTACATCAACAGCCTGAGGTACAGCTCAGCCACCAGAATCAGTTCCACGAATAACTGTGCTTGTAAAGATTAGGCAGGCAGCAGCACGTTGCTTTGGAAGCTGCAGAGCACACACTAACCATGGCATGAAGCATCACGTTATGAGTATCTTGGTAGAGGGTTCCAAGCACCCCCAATTCCCCCTGTGTCTGCTGGACAGGCTGGGCTAGAGAGCAGAGATTACCTGCAACAATTACCAAGACTTTCATATCACCCAAGTTGTCCAGCCCGGCAGTGAGTATGGACTCATAACGATGGGGTTTTCTGGAGGAACTGCTGTACCAGTCCTCTTACCCTGCCATCCCAGCAAGCCTTCACGGGTTGATGTGTTTTGCCATTTCTTTTGCAGGCAGCTCCACCTGCTGGCCCTGGCAGGGCTCCCTGCTCTGCCCTCTGACCACCCTAACCCCAGGACCAACTCACTTTTCTATTCTCATATCCCATCATCAGCTCCCTTTGGGAAAGAGAGCTTCCTACAGACCATCTCTAGCATCCATTCGTCCTTCTCCAGTTATTGCATTGAGCCTTCCTGAACATCCAATGGACTTTGGAAAGAAATCTGACCTCTCCAAGCTGGGCTGTTGTAACTGCCAAGAGGCATGTGGGCAACTTGTTATGTAGTGTTCTAGTGAGGAAGGGGAATTAATCTTTTAATTTAAAAATATTCACCTGCTTGGAGCCTGTCCTGAGGGATGCTTCTTTTCTGGTTCTGCAGCCACCACAAACTCTAATTTTGGGTGTACATGGAAACACTCAAAGCCCTTCTGAGACAGAGTTTTCTCCATCTGTTCCACAAAGGGACAATCAAAAGCTAACATTTGTGAACAATCCCTTGCTGATTTCAACGAGGTCCTCAACAATCAGGAGAATGACCCCACCTGGGAGACTGAACTACTTCCCTGCTTTGGAATCTGTGAGGCACTGAAAAGGCTCTTTAAGCAGTGACTCACTATGGAGTACTAATTAAATTAATTGAAATAATCATATAAATTAAAAACATTTTAATAGGGGAGAGTATGGGGGAGCTGTTTCTTGTTCACCTTTGGGTTCTGGAAGGGGCTATCAAGTTAAGGTATGAGTATTTCAGTTTCAATTTTGCATGCATGATTTTTTTGTCTTCCTGAATATCTGTAAAGGGCATTTATTTATACATAAGATGTCATCCTCCAGTTCAAAAAGGGATGAAAAAGTAAGCTTAGCTTTTGAAAATAACCACAGACTGGACTTGGTACTAGGTTGGTTACAAAAAAATTTGGTCTCAGTGGGGTAAAAGTTCATGTTCTCTGAGGAGTATAAGGAAGGCTTTGCATGTGTATGCAATAAGTCTCTATTAAAAATTGAGGCTTGTAAGAAAAGTGTATCTGCAGATGATTAGACCTTGCAGGTTCCTCTTTAAGTACAAAGGTTTACCACCTCTTTAAAACGCAGACTTCTTAGAACTATGCAGTCTGGTAACAGGCTTCTTGGAAAAAGCTCAGACATGCATAAAAGCACAAAACTGCTGCCACTGCAGCGTTAGCTCAGTGACACAAACTTGTCTCTTCAAGACCATTATTTTTGTTGGCTAAGCAGAGAACAGTAAATGCTTCTGTTACCAAAGCTTGAAGTAAAAACACTTCCAAAGGCTTTCTGTAAAACAGTCTGTTTCACAGGGAGGGTTGTTTTTGTTTTTTTTTTCCCAAAGCACAATTTAAAAATCCAAAGAAAGAACCATATCCTTCAGTAAATAGAAGTTACTTAATTCTGGAGACCCAAAAAGATACGTATTATCAACAGTCAGCTACATGACTGTTTCAAATCATACTTACTGCTAAAATGCTGGAGTTGATGTAGAACAGCATGCTAACAGCTTGAATGCTGCCACATTTTTCCACACTTACTGATCTAATGCATTTTGTAGCCTGGTTTACTAAAAATGCTGGAAAAAAAAAAAGTCACAAAGTATTACTGAGTGAAATGAAAGAGTAGTTGTGAAAAGCAGAAAGCAAATACAATATAAAAACTTCAAGTATAAGTGAAAGTGAATGTGATTTCTATTGCAGATAAGGTTTGATGTGAGCTATTAAGAATGACACTTTCTTAGATTCTCCAGAAATGCTGTGACACAAAATACTTCTTAACAATAGAAGCTTAATAAATGCTAGAAGATTTAGGACTTAATTTTTGAGATCTCATAAGATTATTTTTTTCTTTCACAAGAAACTTCAGTTCTCCTATGATCATCATCATGATTGTTATGATGCCCTATTTAATACTAACACTGGGGTTTGGAAAATGCAGGTGTGTGGGTTTGGCTGTGGTTGTGGCTTCTTCTTTTTTCTTTTTTTCTTCCCCTCCTCCCCCTCTGCAGATTTTCAGGAAACTGTGTGAAAGGTTAAAATGTAGAGCTCAAGCCTGCAAGTCTGACTTGAGTTGCATTCAGGCTGTGAAAGGAACCTCATTACACCAGAGGGACATCTTACAAAAGTTGCCCAGTTAGGTCTTGCTTTGTGTAATACCCTCTTCCCTCATGGTGTCACCCTTGTACTATTTTATTAAACCAATTATGCCAAATAGGATGTTTTGGTGTTGGATAAACAACCCATTAACAAGACTCTCAAGGATTTACATATCTAACTTTGAATGTTTAATATAGATGCAACGCAACTTCCAATCAATGTCTAAAGAAAACCGGAGAGAAATAGAAGCTATTTGAAAAATATTTGTTCATGACTCGTTATCTGTATTTACATTTTGTGTGTGCCAATTTACTGACTGGTCAAGTTCAAGTCAGAACAGAACACTCTAAAGCAAATAAACTGGAATTCAAATGCATTTTCCAACCTGCAGGATTCACATCAGAGCACCAAGAGGAGACAACAGGACTAGGCAGCCTTAGAAAAGCATCCACTGTCTGTATAGGAACACCATACTGCCAAATAAAACAACATATTCAAGTGTATAGGTGTGTTTCAGTCCATGGGAAGTTTTAGAGCATTTATATTAACAATAAATCTGAATAAAATAAGTACTTGTTTCCACTATATCTGTCAATGCTTTTTACTATTTTATGCATCAATTCTTAAGCCACTGCTAACAGCTTTATGTCTACAATAGCAAACCACCTACACATTTTTTCACAGATCTTAAAAAATCTAGTTCACTGTTTAAGTAAACTAACAAACAATGCTACATTTTTTACATTTCTATATTTAAAGACCAAAATAAACTTTGTCTTTTCTAGAACTGCAATTTTTAGAAGCAGATGCAAACAATGTTCACTTGTTCTTTTATGGAGCAATCTAATACTAACTGAGTCATGTAATTATTTACCTCGTATCTATATGTTTCATTTGCATCAGGAGGATTTTGAGCATCTGCATCCATATCCCAGCTGTCAGGCTCAGCACTGAAAGTAGTACTTCCAAACTCTTGAAGCAATCGATCAAAATTTTCAGAAGTAGGCATTTCAGGGGAACTGAAGGAGAGTGCTTGTTTATCTGTCAAAATATTATTTAAAGAATAAGATAACTTTTAGAATAGAAGATACAGAAAAGTTATTTAGTAATATTTTTTCCTCCTGGAGCTTCTAAAACCCAGTAAAAGAAAAATACCAATAATGATTTTTTTTTTTATTTTATTTTTGTAAGGAAAGCTTTCTCTTTTCTTTAAGAGAAAATCAGATCTGTGAAAGCACAATCTTGAACTTAAGGAAAGAGGTAAGTCCCTTACTTTCAAAACCACGGTTTCTAACAGCATCAGGTGTTCCAAAACAAAGATATGCCAATTAGTGTCTACAGTTTCAATGCTAAGTATGCAGATGACTACTGCACAGTCTTAATTAAATTAAGAAAACATAGCACGGATCACTTCTTACTTCCCTGCAAGTTATTTTAAAGCTGGCCATAAAGGATTTGTACCAATTCCATACTTACAGTAACAGATCAGGAAGGAGTCAGTTTCCCATGAGACAACTTTAATGTGATTTATTGGAGAGGATAAATAATTTAAAAAAAAAAAAAACCCACCCTAAAAAGTTTTTTTTTAACAGAGAAGACTAAGAGTTAGAGTATGAGATGTTTTAACTCCATAGTTTCACAAATGACAGGATTACAACACAAGGACTGTGAGCATACAGAATACCCAGTTTTCTGATGGGTTTAGTTTCTTTTAATTTTACTCTGTTTCTGGTACCTAAAGAGCTTATAAAAATAACAACACAATTCTTAATACCAGCAACAACTCTACTTACAGTTTGTAGCATGAATGCAGAAAATACTGGGATTGACTTGGTCAATTAATTTAAATATCCTTTCTGGTGGATTTGCTTCAACATCAAGTGAATACACAGCAGCTTTCTGACTACAAAGACGGTCGTCACCTCTACAAACAATAATAATAAAATAATAATCCACTAGAAGTTGGTATTGACCATATTTTAAAGTTCTTCTCAAGTATTGAGGCAGCATCAAAAAAAGAGCACTAAAGAGATTACACTTCTTAACACAATTTGTATAGCACTTGTGCCTCCTTAGAAGTTTTATATTGTTTTATACTGTATGCTTAGTAATAAATAAAAGAATTCTCCAACATGTTTTATCTAGCAGAGGAAACTGTGTGAGCAGCAACGTGGAGAGAGGTAAGAGACAGACCAGGGGGAAGGGAAGAGCCCGACAGTAATAATATTAGAGCTAAAATGACAAGTTGGATGGGATCCAGGTGGTGTGAGACACCACAGATGCACGGTGCACCACAGGCTATACACAGCTCAGAAGCACTTTTATTTATACAACACAAGTGGGAAGTATGACCTTTAGGGTAACGTGATGGCACGTGGGCCAGAAAAAAGGTCAGTTTTGTGAATATTAGAATAATATTCACTTCAGGGGGGGAAGGGAGGAGGCAGAAAAAAAAGTCCTACTTGAGATGCATGTGAAAAAAAAGGCAGAGTGAGAAATGGCAGTGAAATAACCCATCCAATTTAGGAAAAGTGTTTGTAGATGTGCCATGGGTTCATCACCAACAGCCCAGAACTGCAGTAGCTGCACAGCAAATGTGCCAGTTCATACCCTGAAGAGCACTGGTGTGTCCTACATGCTAGAAATACAAGATGATGATCCTTGGGAAACCATACTTAGGCAGGGTTAAAGCGGTCAAGGGCAGATACTGAAGAAGTGAAATGACTTTTTAAGCATGGAGTTAAACTCCTCTGTGAGGTGAACCATTTGTTAGTAAGGTCACATCATAAATCAAACACCCTTTCTCCTCTGTTTCAGAGGCCACAGAGCCTCTGACTTGTAATCCGTCAAACCCTTTCAGTAACTAATAGAAATATGCAAATGTATATAAATCTCAATGTGTAAATAATGAGATTCACATAACTTGCAGTCATTGAAAATCCCATGGATTTTCATGCAAAAGTAACATTTTACACAAAAGA